TGGCCTGGCGCTGGTCCAGGAGGGAGCCTCTGCCAGGAGCACAAGCTAAGCTGAGGGTGGGGTGGGGGGAGGGCCTGCTGGCAGGAGGGAGGCGCTGCCCAGCCTGGCCTGCAAAGGCCGGTTCCCAGAAGGAGGAGGAAGGGAGTGGTGGAGACCGCGGGGACTCCCGGCTTTGAGGAGCCAGAGTTCTCCTTGTCACATCTTAGCTCTCCCCGGTGGAGTCTTAATCCCAGATTGACCGAAGGGAATTGTCAGCTGTCCAAGGGCTAGCAAATTCCCAGCTCACCTAGATTGGGTTTTCTGACCATAAAAATAGGGGAGCCACGTGCACAGCTGCCTGGGGGGCAGAGACCTGCGCAGGTGGGTGCTGGACGCCCCTTGCTACAGCGTTCTCTTTGCGTGCATGTGACTAGAGGTGAGAGTGGCTGGAGACTGAAGATCGCAGAGCCTGTCTTTCTCCTCCAGCTGGAGGCCCCCGCCTCACCTTGCCTGGGGAGGGTGCTTAGTCTGGACAAGAAAGGTCTTAGATGGGCCTGCTGCTTCTCTTGTGAGATGGACTCGGCTGGGCCTCTCTATTCTCAAGGAGCCAGCGGAGCCACCACGAGGGAGTGACTGTGACATGGAGGCATCTTTTGGTTCGACACGAAAAAGAATTTTTAAAGCTTTAGGTAGTGAGCTCACCACTCCCAGGAGTACTCAAGCAGATGCCAGACGATTATCTGCAGGGAAAACTACATTCGGTGGGAAATTGGACAAAATACTGTGGAAGGCCTCTTTTAGCCACGGGATGCTACAGCCCTATAATTCTAGACTTCTCTGCCTCTCGCTCTCTCTGAGTCTAGAATCTAGAGCCCCCGTTTCTCGGGTGGTGAAAAGTTGAAGATTTTGACACTCTAGAATTTTAATTCTGGGATCTCGAGACTCCAGAACTGGGAGCACAGAGGATGATTCTGCGAGCCTCAGTTTTGGATTCAAAGGATTCTGTGATAGGAAAGGGAAAAAGAGGAGGCCTGACTTGGTGGGATCCAGTTTTCCCCATTGGGTGTCAGCCTAACGTGCCCTGCATGTGTGTGCTTGTGCGTGTGCGCGTGTGTGTGTAGCATGAGTGTGTAAGGCTGCAGAAAGTTTTGCACACGAAGGCAGCCTGGTTTTCCTGTAACGCGTCTGCAGCTTCTCTGCCCCGGGGATAATAATAGACCCCAAACAGAGCTGATGGTCCGGGTAGCCATGGCAACTGTGAGGTAATGCTGCTCTGTTGTGGAGATGCGTAAGTACAAACAGATGTCGGTGCCTTCCCATTAGCTTAAATGGTAAAACTTAAAAATTCCATCGACTTCAAAGCTACAGGTTTCTGTGGGCACGCCGGTTCATGGGAGCGCCTGCCAAGCGGATGATAGCTTCGTATTAAACACTTCAGCGTCGGTAATGGGTTGATGAGATTTTAAACGCTCAGGCTGTCCTCAGACAACTCAGGAGGCCAGAGATAGGAGAAGAGCTGGGATTTGAGTAGTCATTCGGGGTGCTCTGAGACTCCCAGGAGGGCACGGGGCGTTTGAAAACCGCACCCCACATCTCAATCCCCGGGAGTCTCGGATGTGTCCCCCCCAGCCTTCCCCAGTGCACAGGGCAGGTGGCCCTGGGTCAGGCGTGGCACAGCTCAGTGCCATCACCTTCTTTCTGCCCTCCCCGCTCACATCCTGGGCTCACCCCCAGCGAGTGACCAGCGGTAAGCGTCAAAGCTTCCGAGGGTCTGAGACCGGGGTAGGCACTCTCAAAGTTGCCTTTCCTTCTGAGGCTGGGCCTGGCAGACTGGGCCTCAGTACTCGGCTGTTGCATGAATGAATGAACACAGGAACAAACAGATGAATGGCTGAATGAATGAATGAGAGCCCCTTTGACACCTCCATGGCATTTTTAGCTACTCATTTTGTTACTGCTTCTTCCACTGCTAAAGAGATGGGCCCTCGGGGGTCAGCTGGCCTAGCATTCGGGGTTGACTTCTGGAATGGTCACCAGGGAAGGGGACAGCAGATGTGCAGCCAGTGCCTCAGACCCTTTTGGTTGTTAGGAGTCAGCTGCCTCAGTACACAGGACTCATTGAAAAGAGACACAGGGCTCCTACAGGGAGTGGAGGCTCATGGCGATCCGAGAACCGTCACGGGCCAGGCTTCAGAGACTCGCACAGAGGGCGTTCTGAGGAGTTTTACTGAAGAGCTCTAAGTTCAGGGATTCTTCGAATCTGACTCTTTTTCTAGCTACATTTCCTACCTGTCCGATTCTTACTAGACATCCCTGTTCACCTTCTGAAGACGGGATCTGACTGGCAGAGCTAGGAGACGTTGACTTTTCGGGAAATCAGTGGCCCCTGACATCGGCTTTCTCAGCTTGGTTGTGACTGGCAGCAGGTCTGGGGGAGAATCGAGTGCCCCAGAACTTGACTGGCTACACCTGCACCTCAGCAGGGCTGGGGCAGGGCAGTTACCTTTAAAAAGCTGTGTAGGTGGGGTAGTCGTTACTCACACATCCAGCGCAGACCCAGGACGGACCAAACACTGGCTTCTCGCTTCTGAATCTCGCCTCCCACAGATATAAAGTGGTGTGGTGCTCGCAACCTCCTAGAGGTGTTGTAAAAACTAGATGTCATCTTGCCAGGGAGGTACTTTGTAAAGTCCTGTGCAGACGGAAGGAAGGGCCTGTGACTTCCTTGAACATAGCACTCAATAAACTGTACTGTATTTTCATTCCTCGTAGTTACCTCCCTAAAGACACTCTGAGTTTCTTGGACACAGGAATCTGTTTATTTGATTTTGTTGTCCTCAGCATGCAGCAGTGTCTGACACACAGTACGTGGTCTATCACTGTCTGTGAGATGAGTGGATGGATGGATGGATGAACAGATGGATAGATGGAGGGACAGGTGAATTATGAATGGATAAATGAATAGATGAATGAATGAAGGGAGGGATGATGAATGGAGGGTTAATGAGTGGATGAATGAGGGGTTGGGTGGATGGATGGATGGAGGGATGGATGGAGTGAGAGATGGAGGAACAGATATATGGATAGATGCAGAGATGGGCGGATGATGGATGGATAGATGGATGGGGGGACGATGAATGGAGGGATAAATGGATGAATGAGGGGAGGGGTGGATGGATGGATGGAGGGAGGATGGGTGGATGAATGAGTTGATGGATGGATGGATGAACAGATAGATGGATAGGTGGAGGGATTGGTGGATGACGGATAGATGGAAGGAGAGAGGGATGATGAATGGATGAATGAGAGGATGGGTGGAAGGATGAGCTGATGGGTGGATGGGTGGAGGATGGATGGGTGCGTGGATGGATGGATGGAGGAACAGATGGGTAGATGGAGGGATTGGTGGTGATGAATGGGTGGGTGGATGGATAGGTGAGTGAATGGATGGATTGAAAAAGATGCTGGATGGATGAATGGATGAATGGATAGATGGATGTATAAGTGGGCGGATGGAAGGAGGGATGGATGGAAGATAAGGCTAATCATCTTCCACTCACTTTCTGTGCAAGACCATCCCCTGTTTACTCAACAAACATTTATTCAGTTCAAACTTGGCACAGAGCACTATGTGAGGCCCATGAGCTACAGGGATGAAGAAAATGGAGCTCCTGAAATAAAATAAGGGAGGCTGGCTTCCAGGGTTCAAATCCCAGCTCTGCCAGCAACTAGCTGTGCATCTGTGATGTTTCCCTACTTCCTCTCAACTAATGGAGATAGTGTCAGTACCTATCACATAGGGAGGTCTTGGGGGGATTAAATGAGCTACCAAATGCTAAGTGTTTGGGACAGGGCCTGGCACCCAGCGAAGTCTCCGTGAGTGCTGGCTGCTGCTATCCTAATGGAGAAGCTGGCAAGAAAACCAGGAAATAGGACTCCCCTTGGGAAGCAATGCAACAGGAACCCACACAAAGAAAGGAAAGGAGGAAGCAATTAGTTGTGTCTCAAAGGAGTATGGCAAGAAAACCTTTTCAGATGGAAAACTTTGGGCAGGATCATGAAGCCAGGAATTCTTTAAGAGATGGTGGACTTGCCCAGGACCACCTGGCTATAAGCACAAAAGCATCTAGTTCCTTTCTGTCACTTCTGGCGGGGTGAGGGGTCTCTGGCAAAGGAGCAGACAGTGCGTGAGAAGCTGTGAAGGGCCAGGACGGTCCTGGGGCCAGCCGGGGTGCCTGGTGGTCAAGCTTAGAAACATGACAGGTCCTCTTGGGAGGGCTGACCGCAGGGAGCGTTGGGTTTCAGGCTGCTGGCATCGGCCTCAGTGGTGCCCTTTCTGTCTGTTCTGAGAGTCCAGACGGTGCCCAACCTCCTCCCCTTCTTTCAACACACACAACCACCCCACCCCCCTGTGGCCTGAGCTGTCCTGCCTCGCCACAATGGCACCCGCCCCAAAATAGCTTCCCATGTGAGGGCTAGAGAAAGGAAAAGATTAGACCCCTCCCTGGATGAGAGAGAGAGAGAGAAAGAGAAGGAGGGCAGGGGAGGGGAAGAGCGAGCCATCGAGTGATCTTTGTCAAGCACCCCGGAAGGTATAAAAACGCCCTTGGGGCCAGGCGGCCTCAAACCCCAGCTGTTGGGGCCAGGACACCCAGTGAGCCCATATCTGCTCTTTCTGTCTTCTTCAGACTGCGCCATGGGGCTCAGCGACGGGGAATGGCAGTTGGTGCTGAACGTCTGGGGGAAGGTGGAGGCTGACATCCCAAGCCATGGGCAGGAGGTCCTCATCAGGTAAAAGGAAGAGATTCCACCGCCCCTGCCACCCACACCCTAAGATCAAGGGTGGAAAGTGTGCACCCGTAGACCCGTTGGCTGCATTAGTTGAGGGTGTTAACACCCTCACTTGCTTTTTCTTCACTTTAAAGTGTCAGGGATTGGACTCGGGAGAGGGAAAGGGATCCATTTCAGGCTGAGGTCAGCAGCTGGAGGAAGCTTGGGAATGAAACCTTGGATGCTCAGAGTCCACCAGGAAGAATTTTAGAATTATAGACAGTCAGAGTTAACAAGGGCTCTGAGAGATTGTGTCCAGCTACCTGTCTTACAGGATGGGGACAAAAAGGGACTGAGAAGGGGAGGACATTTTCAGAGTCACAGCCTGTGAAATGCTGTTAAAGTGTCATGTCTAAGAGATGGCCTTCACGGGGAGACATATCTGGTTCTAGGTTGGACTCTGCCACTGAGTAGCTGGGTGACCTTTGGGAGGTCCTGAACCTCTCGGAGCCTCGATGTCCTGTCCTGTACCACGAGGGGGATAGTCTGGTATCTACGTCCTAGAGGAGAAGTGACAATGAAATAAGATGACGCGTGCAAGACACCTGGCGTAGCTCCTGGCATATACCGAGTGCTAGAAATGTTAGCAGCTATTACAGATGAAGGCCAGACTAGGGACCTTTCAAAGCATTGCAATTAGAGAACAGAAGATAGAGCCTCATTAGTGGCCTTTGGCGTTGGATATGTCTCCAGTCTGAGAGCTCGGAATGGTGTGGTCTCCAAGTATATCCTGCCTTTTACTGCAGGGGATTTTGGAATACACCCACGAAAACAAAAATCTGAGTTCTGTGAATAGAGGGTGGCTGCGGTTTGTACGTAGACTCTCATCTTCCCGTTGCCTTCCATCCCAAATGGTGCTACGCTCTTTTCTTCTCTGGGTCCCTTCCCTCATGTTCTGGGCTGGTTCCGTCAAAAGTCTGATGGGTTATGAATCAACATTTCTGCCTCTGGGAGGCAGTGGGCTCCAGGTTTGCCGTAAGTGATCGGACTGTCTTTGGTGCTTTAATTTGCAGATTCGTTTCTCCTTATTGGTGAGCCGACGCCTGTTTTCCTCTTCCACTCAGTTTTCCTTTGGGTCTCTTTTGGGCTTTCCCCATTTGCAGCCTCTGTCTGCCTCGGGAGCCTGCCTGGTCCTGGAAGCTCCATTATCTAAAATTTGAGCCCTTAGTGTCCTTGCTAGAAACACTTGAAGAAGGACGGTTAAGTTTTCTGTTGACTCTAATGGCATTGTGGTGTGTTCATTATGTCTTTCTTCTGTTCCTGTCAGCAGGCTGTAACAGGTCCTGTTGGATTGCACAAAATGCTCCCCCCACCAACACACACACACACACACACACACACACACACACACACATTGACATTGACTCCTGGGCCACCAATTTGCCGTGTGACCTTGGACAAGTCTCTCCGTCTCTGGGTCTTCTTTCTTTGTTGGTTGAGTGAAGGGATTATCTTCCATGGTCTCTGAGATCTCATCCCACTGTCATGCCCTGGAATTCTATGAGTCCACGATCCTCCTTTGCTTTTGGAGAGGAGACAGGACAGTCGGGCATGGAGGTAGGAGACCAGAGTTTGCAGAGCAGAGGTCTTTCCAAGGTGGTTTGGGAGCTGCCATTCCTAAGGCAGTGACTTGGACGTCTTGAAGAAGACTCAGGGTGTTGCGTCATCAGGGAGATTCAGGGAGGCTTGCCAGGGGCCAGGGGCCAGGGATCAGACATGATGCCTAGAACTGCTGGCCCCTGGAAGGTCCCAGAAGCCTGGTGCCCTGTCACATCTTATGCTGTGGGGCACGCAGAGACCGCGCCAGCTGGTTCTGCCTTCTCAGTGTTTTGGGAACAGGAAGCATGGCCTCCCGGGGGGCAGGGTGGAGAGGGCTCAAGCCCAGAGCTGCAAATGACCCCCGTAGGAGTTGGCATCTTGGCTCTGCTCTGGATACTGACTCGGCTTTCTTCCTGACCTTGAAAGGTTATGTCTCCAGTCTTCTGATTGTAAAAGAGGGCAAATTCCGTTAAGCCCAGTCTGTAAACCACGGAGGGCTTTGCTGTAAGTACATGAACATAAAGTTCTAGAACACAGAAGCTGGAAGGTCACTTGAAGATTCCGGCTCCAGGCGTGGGGGCTTCAGAAGAGAGGGGGGCTCCGGCGTGGGCTCCACACTCCCCTTTTTCCTTCCTTTACTCAAACCTTTTTTGTTTTATTTACTTTGGCATTGTGTTTTGGAGCAAAGGATTTCAAGGCCATAACACGTTTGAAAATCACCGCTGATGGTCACTGCTTCTCACTACAGGGAGGAACTGGGCCTGAGAGTCTCCACTGGTTAGTGACAGCCACAGGCAGGAGTGAAAACTCCTGGGTGATGGTGATGATGATGAGGGTAGAGATGAGGAGGAGGAGAAAGACAGCAACCATTTATTCAGTACATACTGATTGCTGGGCTCTGTCTGACGTGTTTCTTTCACTCATTGAAGCCTGACAGCAACCTTATGAGGTAGATGTTATTATGATCACCACATTTGACAGAGAGGTTAAGAAACTTACCTAAAGCCACTCAGCAAGCAAGAGAGGAGCTGGAGACCGGGCGCAGTGGCTCACCCCTGTAATCCCAGCACTTTGGGAGGCTGACGCGGGCGGATCATCTGAGGTCGGGAGTTCAAGACCAGCCTGACCAACATGGAGAAACCCCGTCTCTACTAAAAAAAATACAAAATTAGCTGGGTGTGGTGGTACATGCCTGTAATCCCAGCTACTCGGGAGGCTGAGGCAGGAGAATCGCTTGAACCTGGGAGGCGGAGGTTGCAGTGAGCCGAGATGGTCCCATTGTACTCCAGCCTGGGCAACAAGAACAAAACTCCATCTCAGAAAAAAAAGAAAAAAAATTGAGAGAGGAACTGGAATTCAAATTCAAGCAGCTTGGATCCAGAGTCCTTGCTCATTGCTTTTTGAGACCGAGTCTTGCTGGGATTACAGGTGTGCACCACCATGCCCGGCTAATTTTTGTATTTTTAGTGCAGACTGGGTTTTGCCATGTTGGCCAGGCTGGTCTCTAATTCCTGACCTCAGGTGATCCGCCCGCCTTGGCCTCCCAATGTGCTGGGATTACGGGCGTGAGCCAACGCACCAGGCTCAGAAGCCTTGCTCTTGACCGCTATGCTATTCTGCCCATGACCTTGCCACACTCAAGACGGGCTGCCATGCGCAGTCTGGTTCTTTTGCTCCAGCAGAGCCAGGGGTGGTTTTCACAGATCTGAGCATGTGCTCCATGTTTCATGTGGGTGTCTGCTTGGGCCTCAGTTCAGAGAACAGCAGGAAATGACCTCCCTTCTCTCTGACTTGGCCTGAAGATGTGTCTGATGAACCAAGCTCACTGACAGCAGGGTTGAAGCTGGATACACAGGCAAACGGGGCTTTCTGAAATACTAGAGGAAAAGCCCTCTCTCCGTTTCCACAGGGTGAGGGGCTTCCATCTGCTCGTTTTCTGGGTGGCTGTTATCTGGCGAATCCAGGAGAAGGGTCATCTGTGGCTGCCTGTAGGGGGCACTCCTAGCTGCAAGGCCTGGGTCCACGGGAGGCAGGCAGCTGTGTGTGCTGGAATAATCTGGCAGGCACAAATTAGCCCAATTCTCCTCTGCTGTTTAAACATGGGGCAGCGTGTAGTGCCTTGGCCTGTAATCTCAGCACTTTGGGAAGCAGAGTGGGAGGATCGCTTGAGTCCAGGAGTTCAAGACCAGCCTGGGACACATAGTGAGACCCCCTTCTCTACAAAAAAATAAACAAAATTAGCCGGGCGTGGTGGTGTGTGCCTGTAGTCCCGGCTACTCGGGAGGCTGAGGTAGGAGGCTCGTGCCCAGGAGATCAAGGCTGCAGTGAGCCAAGATCACACCACTGTACTCCAGCCTGGGCAACAGAGCAATACCCTGTCTCCCCAAAAATATTAATAAAGTAAACATGGACTCTCTCCCTGGCTGTCTGGTGCAGAGAGTGGAAAGTAAGGCATTGATGAGTCTTTTGGAGGAATCATCTAGACCTACCTTTTGGTTTACATATGGAGGAGCCAAGATCCAGAGAGGCTGAGTGGCTTCAACCTCACAGAGCACCTTGGCGCCAGAACTGGGACCAGAACTCAAGCTTCCATACCTGTCCGTTCTTTGTTCTCTTCCCTAGATATCGGAGGGGTGGGGAGCGGGCCCTAACATGTCGGAGACCCCCAGCTGCCTTGCATCCCAAATCCTTGGCCCTGTTCTGTCCCAGACAGTCTCCATTCAGTGTCCTGACCTCGGGCCATCACCTGTGCGTGCCCGGTCTTCCATCTGTCAGGCTGGAGTTCAAGGATCATTGTCGCCAGATAATAATAGTCAGGAGCTCAGGGATCCTTGGGCTAAAGGTGTCAGAGACAAGCTGTCTGTGACGCACGAGGATTTGGACAGGATCCTGGGGTGAGGTGGCAAAGTTGGGCAGGGTGGCAGACCATGCCCAGCATGGGGAAAGTGAATGTATGTGGTTCAGGCTTGTGGGGGTGTGTGTGTGTGTGTGTGTGTATGGCATGTGCTGGGAGATATTTACATGTATTTCTGTGTGAGGGTGCAGGCCCGCATGTGAATGTGCACACACATCTGTGAGAGCCCACACGCACGTACACATGTGAGGTGTTGATACATTTCCATGTAGGTATTAGTTTGCATGTAAATATCTTTGTGTAACAATAGCAAAGCCTGAAGAGTCATCAAGAGGGTAGATATGAAGCCAGGCTGCCTGGGTTAAATCCCCAGCTAGTCGGTCTTTCAGTGCCTCTGTTTCTTCCTCTGCAAAATGGCATCTACCCCATCAGGCTTTTAAAATGAGTTAACATATGTCCGCACTGTGAACGTAAAGTAAGTGTCACATTGGTATGAGTTAGTATTGCTAGTACCTTTGTTTTTTGTTTTTTTGAGATGGAGTCTCCCTGTCACCCAGGCTGGAATCCAGTGGCACGATCTCTGCTCATGGCAATCTCCGCTTCCTGGGTTCAAGCAATTCTCCTGCCTCAGCCTCTCGAGTAGCTGGGATTACAGGCGCCCCCCCCCCCCACCATGCCTGGCTAATTCTTTTGAATTTTTAGTAGAGACGGGGTCTCACCATGTTGGCAACGCTGGTCTCGAACTCCTGACGCGCCTGCACCTCCCAAAGTGCTGGGATTACAGGCGTGAGCCACCCCACCCGGCCACCTCTGTTTAACGCAGTGTGCATTTGTGCGTGCCCATGTGTTCCTATTTGAAGTTGAATGTAGCAAGTTAGTAGGCCTTTTCCAAATGGGAGATCTGATTATTGATCAAATAATAAGCATGTGAGAATGGTGTTGAGAGTGTGTTTCTTTGGGTGATAAAATAATTGTGTGTTTGGAAAGGGGCTGGAATTGCCGATCTCAAAGTCCGTCCAGTCCCGGGATCCTGGATTCCTAATAAAGAATGTGTTCTGTCAATAACATCAGCAATTCACCTGCTCCAAGATCCTGTGTCCTAACACAAACATGCAGACGTGGTGTGAGCCCAGCCCCAAACCCACTGGGCCAGGATGTTGAAAACTCTTCCAACTTTTCCTTCTCCTCTCTCCTGTGCCGTGGGGAGAAGGAAGGAAGGACCATGTGTCTCGTGCTTGTCCTGTGCCTGAGGAAGAAATAAGGAAGGAAAGGAAAACGCAAGGGAAGGAAAACACAAAGCTCTGTCCTTCAGAGAACAGCAGTTGAGCTTCCTGCTTCTCCTTCTGCTGACTGTGACCTTGGCAAAGAGGCGTGCCCTCTTCCTTTCTTCTTCCTTTAAGTGAGATCATAACAGTATCTACCTCCCAGGGTTGCTGTGAGGACCCAGTGAATTAATACACGCAAAGCACTGAAAATACTCCCACCCTTGGCAGGTGCTCCGTGTCAGTTCAGTGCTTTCACTCAAAATCAGAAACTATCTCTGATCGTGACGTCCGAACTAGGCTGCTGAGCCTGGAATGGGGGGCTGAAAACAGGAAGGAGAAATGCAAATTCTGCAGTTCAGGAGTACGGGTCATCAACTGCTCAATGACAGGACGAGAAGCTATGGCAGGTCTCATGAAGAAGAGCTGGGGGCTTTAGTTGACCACAAGCTGAAGAGGAGATTGTTGGACAGAGGTGGCTCTTAAAAAACATGAACTCATGGCGGGGCTTGGTGGCTCACGCCTGTAATCCCAGCATTTTGGGAGGCCGAGGTGGGTGGATCATCTGACGTCAAGAGTTTGAGACGAGCCTGGCCAACATGGTGAAACCCCGTCTCTACTGAAAATACAAAAATTAGCCAGGTGTGGTGGCGCACGCCTGTAGTCCCAGCTACTAGGGAGGCTGAGGCAGGAGAACCGCTCAAACCCAGGAGAGGGAGGCTGCAGTGAGGTGAGATCCTGCCACTGCACTCCAGCCTGAGCGACAGAGCGAGACGCCATCTCAAAAAAACCCATGAGCTCATTCTCAGATTGAGGAGCTCAGCGTCCTGGTCACAAAATATCCTCCTCATAAAACCCTGGGATAGAGACAGCGGGGATCAGGTGCTTCCTTGTGACCACTTCTGGACAGGGTGGCTCAGGGCGTGAGCTGAAGTGTGGCCACAGTACACACTGTGTACTGCTACAGGGATGCCGTGGAACCTGGAGTCCATGAAAGAGGAGCTTTGCGAGGAAATGAAACCATCGGACAGGAGAGGAAGCCCTGGGCACACAGGTTGCCCCTGCCAAGCATTTCAGGCTGTGGCACAGGGACAGGGTGGGAATAGGAAACTGTCCCATTTGTGTTTGGGTCTGGGCTCTGCCACTGACCAGCCACGTGACCTTGGGCAAGCCACTTCTCTCCGTGGTCTTCCGTGGGTAAAAAGGGGAAACTCACTTCTACCCAGAGGGCAGGTCTGACTCCCTTTGACCAGCACTCGCCTGCTCATAGTGAAAAGGCATGAGGTCTAGAGCTGGAGGTGGCTGCTCAGAGTCCCAGCAGAGGCCCCTGGGGTACCTCACTGCATGCCTGGCAGGAGTGGGTGCTGGTCTGTGGAAGGGCTGGGTCGGGTTGCTCCCACCAGGGCACTTCGCCATCTGCACAGTGAGGGGACTGGGAGGTTCAGAGAGTCACAGTTTGCGCTCCAAACAAGCAAGAGGTTTCTGGGTGTGAGGATTGCTCTGGAGTGGAGTGGCCCTCACAGGCAGGAGTGAGCCTCCTGTAGCTGGAGGTATTTAAGCAGCTGAAGGACAATCCCTAGTCAGGAAGCTGCAGAGATGGTCG